ATCTGAGCATGACTAAGCTCAAATACTGAGCAAACGTGGCCTTTGTCTCCAAACGTCTCCTGAATTCCCTCAAATTAACTCTATTCACAGTAAACAATGTCCTAAAAATAACAACTAAAGCCTGTAAAACAATTGTATCGTGAACAGTAACGATTCTTACTCCGTCCTTAGAGTATCCACAGCTTTAGAACATTTTACTGAGAATTCAGATTTCTTTAAAATTCTAATAGGATAAAATGTAAGTGATGGAGGGAAAACCCTCTAAATTTGAGCAGCTCATAATTTCTCACATAACTAACTTCCAAGTTGTGTTAAACCTAACAACCAAACATATTTGCCAAACTGGGGATAATAACGCAGCATAAAATGGATATGAACCTCACGGCTCTGCACAAACCTAATGATTTATTAGCATTATTCATCGTTATGAGCAACAACATGAAAACGACACGCAAGATCCACTATCAATATGCAATTTGCATTTAAATGGGCGAAAACGAGCGCACTTGCCAAACATTCTTGGAGAAATGAGATGTTTAATTAGCGGTATTGTTCTGTTAATCAGCATTCGGTGCGTCAGACGGAGTCCTGACGCTTTCGGCTCGCCTCCTTTTGTCGACTCATGATTAGTCATGATTAGATCATCTCTGAGACAATATCAAAGCCGGCCGCCAAACAAGCTAGCACAAGAACTTTTGACAAAGAGAGTGAGTTTAGCAGTGAGACGTCAGTAACTTTCCGCTGCGTGTCCGGACTGGCCTGTAAACACTGGAGTTGATCCTTGGACTTTTCTCTTTTCTCTTTTGTCCCAGATTCCTCCCACATTCCCGTCACACCGGTGGACTTCATCAACGAGGCCGTGAAGGACGGGTTCCTGCTTCCTAACGCTCTGTTTCCTTCACTAACGACCAAAGAACCAACCAGAAATACCACCGATAACCAGCCGTCCACCGATAAGCAGAGTAAGGCCTCACAGCGAAAGCAGCCCGATAATACTCTGTTTCTTCTATTAAGTTCTTCTTGTCATGTGGGTGGGTTTTGAGGGAGGACTCAGGTGCGGAGATGAGGGAAGACAAGGTTTATTCTAACAAAAAACTCATGAAGAGTGAATGTCCAGACAAAGAACAAATCAAGGCTGTGGAAAACTGTCAGCAAAGTAACAAAGCGATAAGTAAACAAGACTGAGGCAAAGTAACAAAATAAAGATTAACAAAACTGTGACAAGGCTGTGGTAAAACAAAGACAATGGCAAAGTAACAAAATAAAGAACAACAAGACTGTGACAAGGCTGTGGCAAAACTGTGACTATGACAAAAAGCAAACCTGACGTGGGGGTGACGAAAGACAAGACGGACTAGAAGGACGAAATGACGCAAACGCACTGGCCCAGGACATGGGAAACGAGGACTATTTAAACACATGAGGGGGGGGAACCCCAGGTGAACACAATAGGTAATCAAGACATGACAACACACCAGACGTCTTCATCAGTGTTTGTCATACTTTTTGTTTTCTTCAGGTCAGACAACAATAATCCACAAAACATAAAGAAATACTGTGTTGCATCCCTCGTAGATCAACTAGTTTCTCTTAAAAAAGAGATGGACCTCATTTATTTGTTGCATACTAATTTCCCCAAGTTCACAACCTGTTCATACACCTACAGGCCCGTAATGGGAAAAAAACACATACTACTAGCATTATTAAACACTATATATATATGTGTATATATATATATAGTCTTTATATAAACATTTAACATAGTAAAAACAATTATGATGACAAAAATATCAAGTCTATACATTTGATTTGTAAAGTTCATCTAAAGAGAGTATATACACAAAAGTGCAAGCAGGCACTTTAAACATGAAAATATTAGCTGTTGCTCATGTAAGAGAAAAGACAAGTAATCCAGTTTTTGCCAATTTTCAGACAGGGTGAAACTCCCCGTGTAAAACAACATTTGGTGACCTGGTTGTTGCTGCGTCAGAAGTATTTGAGAGCTGGAGGCAGAATCTAGCATGCACATGCTAACAGCTAATTAACTCTGGATTCAGTTGCAAGCTTGTTATTTATATGCAAATCTGCTGTGTAAACTCTACAAAACAGCCGTAACCCGTGTGGAACACCGAGGGCCTTTCTACTAAAGTGGAATCGCATTGTTCTACTGGAATAATCACAGATTTGTATCCATAAATGTTTTAGTCATCATAGTGACTGCACTCTGCAGGTGACATCTTCAAGGCAAGGTTGTCAAATAGCAAAGTAATAAACAGTTTGAAGAAAAACACAGAACAAAGCAGGAGCCTGCTGAGAGTTTAAGAGACAATCCTCTCGTGTTTCCTCACACCGAACCAGCTCTTTTTTCTCCGTTAATCTTCCTCTTTTCCTCTCAGGAGCAT